TGTCCCGGCAGCGGGTGCACGTGGAGGTGGACGCCAGCAAACCAGACCTGACGGCCGCCCTGCGCGACATCCGCAGCCAGTACGAGGCCGTGGCCGCCAGCAACGCCCAGGAGACAGAGCAGTGGTACAAGTCCAAGGTGCAGAGTGAGCTGGTGGCCTCACGGAGGGGTGGCCTGGCTGTTCCCCCGGAATGTCACCTCCTCGGGGCTGGGGTTGCTCACCTGGTGTTGGGGGGTGGTGAGGGGGTTTGGGATCTCTGCTGTCCCCGCCCGTGTCAGGGATGTTTCTCCATGTTCCCAGGGCTATGTCCCTCCTGTGGAGCACAGCAGAGCTGTGCCCCCAGGCCGTGTGCCCCCGGGACACATCCCTGCCGCGTGGTCCCATCCCGTGGCCGTGTCCCTGTCCCAGTTCGCAGACCTGACGGACGCGGCCGCCCGGCAAAGCGAGGCCCTGCGCGCGGCCAAGCAGGAGGCCAACGAGTACCGGCGCCAGCTGCAGGCCCTCACCTGCGACCTGGAGGCTCTGAGGGGCTCGGTAGGTGATGACCATGAGGTGCAAGAGGGGGGACATGGCCTTGGGGAGCTGCCACCACCATGGGGTTCCCCAGAACCCCAGTGGGACACCACCCGGTGCTGGGGAACGGTGGCTCCCCTGGGATGGGAGATGGACACTGGGATGAGCCCCCAGCTCCTGGGAGAAGGTGGCCATGGAGGGTGTCATGGCCCCTTGTGACCCCCAGAACGAGTCCCTGGAGAGGCAGCTGCGGGAGCTGGAGGAGCGCTACGCCCTGGAGACGGCCGGCTACCAGGACACAGTGGCACGGCTGGAGGAGGACATCCAGAGCCTCAAGGAGGAGATGGCCCGGCACCTGCAGGACTACCAGGACCTGCTCAATGTCAAGCTGGCCCTGGACATGGAGATCGCCACGTACCGCAAGCTGCTGGAGGGCGAGGAGAGCAGGTGATGGCACAGCGGGGACTCCACGTCCTCGGGGTCCCTCTGGGGTGTCCGGCTGGGTTGGGGACCATCCTCCAGCCCTGCTGCCCCAGCCCCGGGCAGGTGGAGCTGGGGGGGCAGCAGGATCCCACGCTCTTCCCAACACCCTGGTTGCTCCTGCAGGATCACCATCCCTGTGCAGAGCTTCTCCAACCTGCAGGTCCGAGGTGAGGCTGGGGGGGGCAGGATGGTGGCACAAGCAGGGGTGGCTTCTGGGGGCTCTGTGGCAGGAGATGCCACCTAGGCCATCCCTGTCCCATCCAGAGGGACTGGGATGTTTTTCTCTGAATCTTAAGGAAACAGGACTCCTGGTTTTCCCAGGATGGGGGGAGGAGGGTGCCATGGACACATCCCCCAGGCTGAGCATGTCCCCAAGGCTGAGCATGTCCCCAAGCCCATTGATGTGCCCAAGACTGATCACATCATCACATCCTCAGTGACAACCACATCCTCAAGGCCAATGACATCCCCCTGGCCAATTGTGCTCCCCAAGGACAAACCTGTCCCCAAGCTCAGTCACACCCCAAACCCACCCATGTCCCCATGGTCAGTGACATCTCCAAGGTCAAAAATGTCCCCAGTGCCAACTGTGTCCCCAGGGCTAATCACATCCCAAAATCAGCCACATCCTCAGAGCCAACACTGTCCCTGAGGATGGTTGTGTCCCCAGGGCCACTGTCTCCCGTGGTTCAGGGTTTTCCAGCCCAATCCATTTACTTTGGGCCTCTCCACCTGAGCGTGGCTGGAAGGGCCATACCCTGGCCACGGTGTCACTGCCTTGTCCTGGCCTTGTCCCCCAGAGAACAGCCTGGACACCAAATCTGTGTCAGAAACCCACGTGAAGAGGAGGATCGTGGTCAAAACTGTGGAGACTCGAGATGGAGAGGTGGGAAATCCTCATCCTTGTCACCCACGCTCCACCCCCTCTCCCCACGGGGTGTCCCCAGGAAACTTGTACATGGGGCCACCATCCCTGAGCCCCAGGAGCAGCCCGGGCAGGGAGCCAGTGATCCCAGTGCCCTGAGAGCATGGCTGGGCTGAGCCTGGCAGCTCAGAGAGAACACAGCTCCCTGTCACACGTGTCTCTGTCCCCATCCCCAAGCTCATTCGAGCCCAGGCAGGCTCAGCCGGGAGCGGAGCCTGAGCCGGGGCTGATGGTCCCTCTCTCCCTCCGGCTCCAGGTGCTCAAGGAGTCCAAGCAGGAGCACAAGGAGGGGCCGTAGGGCGGACGATCCCGAGCTCCGCAGGTCCCGCCCGACGCTTCAAGAGAGCCCCGCGGGCACGGGGGGCAGGAGGAGCCGGCGGTGCCTCGGGGAACATCTCCCTCCCCTGCACCCCTCGCCTCTCCCGCGTCACCCCGTGCCCAGGGACCCCCACCCCCTGTTTGGGGCTGGCAGAGCAAAGCGCCCATCGGAGCGGGCACTGTGTGGGGCGGGGTGGGCAGCACGCAGGGCCAGGCAGAGCCGAGCTCCCCGGCGGGATCCTGCCGCGTTCCCACAGCTCGGCGTGCCGGTGGTTTGGGGCTGTTCCTGCCTCGCCCCGGGTCTCCAGTGCCGATGGAGAGGATCCATCCCGTTTTGATCTCCATGCAGTGGTTGGACAAGATGATGGTGCCAAGAGCATCTCCTGCACCCACCTTGCTGCCCTCTCTGGTGTGGGAGACCTCCCTGGATCTCCCCAGTACACCCTGACCCCCAGCACCCTTGGGTGGGGGCTGCAGAGTGCAAGGCACCCGCTGGAGAGGGACACTGCCCTGTCACCAGGGGTTGGTGAGCTCGGCTGAGAGGCAGGGGCAGGAAAATGGGGAGGATGGAGAGGCAGGGGAGGAGGAAGAGGACAGTGGAGAAGCAAGATGCTCTTGGGATGGTGTCAGGGGGTGATGAAATGGGGATCAGGAGGGATTCCTGAAGGTGTCCAGGGTGGTTTGTGGGGGCAGTGTGGGCTGGGTGGCCTCAAGAACTTCTCCTGGCACAGAGCCCTGGCACTGTCCTGACCCCCACACTGGGTGTCTGCCACCAGGGTGTCCCCAACACTGTGGTGGGGACAAACAGATCTGAGGGGTTCATGGTGAGGTGTGACCCCTGGCCCTGCACTTGGGGGTCTCACACAGGGGAAAATGAAGAGAAAGGGGGTGCAGAGGAGGAGGAAGATATTGGGGGCTCTCACAAACGGAGCCATCCCTGTCCTGCCTGTCCCACCTGGGGTCACACTGTCAGCCAGGGGGTCTGGGGACCAGGGCTGCCCCAGTCACAGCCCCTGCCACACACAGAACCTGAGCCCATTCTTCCATGGGCATTCAGGGTGGGGTTGGAAGAAATCCCTTGTCCCTGGGCTGCATGTGCCCCTGTGCCCCCACCTGTCCTCCCCCAGACCACCCAGGGTATTGCCCAGCCCCACTCCCACCTTCACTGCAGCCACTGACCACAAGCAGAGCCTTCCCTGATGCCATCTGACACAGGAGCAAGGACCCTGCAGCACTCCCTGTGCCCTGCCAGCCCCTTGTGATGACATCCCTGCTCTTGGATCCATCCCCTCATCCCTCTGTCCCCCTCATCCCCTGGCTCAGGTTTGCTTTGCTCCAACTCCAGAAAGGCCATTCCTGGGGCAGGAGATGTTACAGGAGCCCAGGGCACTGCCCAGGGTGGGAACCCAGGGGGAATCCAGCGTGGCCCCCACGAGCAGCCTCCCTTGTTATTAATTACTGACTTATTAATTGCTGAACCTGTCACAACTCGGGGTGAAGAATAAAGCTAATGAACACTCTGGTTGTTCCTGAGTCCACCTCTCTGCAGCCAAGCCGTGGGGTTTGGGAATTATCTGGGCATTGGGGCCCTTTGGGGGCCCAAACTGAGCTGTGCTGTGTGGGGATGTGCTCAGGGCTGAGCCCACGGCACAGACACGCTCCAGGGGCCAACACCCCTGAGGGACCGAACACGGGGAGGGGGAGCAGGGGTAACACCCTGAGCTGGCAGCCAGGCAGTGGGGTGGGAGAGACCCCCTTCCCAGGAGGGGAAGCAGGGATCTGCTGAGGGTTCTCCACCCTCCCAGGAAACTCCTGGGATCCTCTGCTGCTGTTGGGGCTGAGGGTGGATTTGAGATCCTGCACATCATAGACACAGTTCAAGTGCCAGGGCATTGTTGGGACCCTCAGTGCCCTCCTGGACAGTGACAGTTGTCTTGGGAATACTGAAATCCCCAAGCCACATCCTTGGAAAAAGGGGATGAGCCTAGTGGGGACGTCCTGCTCCATACTGAGGAGCAAGTGGCCACCAAAACCCCGCAGAGATGCCACCACCTTTGGGGGACGTACAAGATAACATTGTCTGGCACAAACACTGACTCCGAACGCTGTGCTCAGTTGGATGAGTAAAAACCCTCAAAAATCAGACACATTTCTGAAGAAAATCACCTGATTAATTTGAAAAAAATATTTTTTGTCCTTCAAAAATTAAAAAAAAAGTGTTTAAACCAAAATTAAAAAAACAGGTTTGCTCCAGCTAAGGAGCTCAAAGGAACACTGAAGGGTTTGGGATGCTGGGACTCACAGTTCTCAGCAAGAAAAACAAGTTAAATAAGGGAAAAAAGGGTGAGAAAAGCAACTATTAATTGAATTAAAATAGTTTGGTGGATCTTTTTATCAGCCTTTTAGGAAAACAACTCTAATAAATCACTGATGCGGACCAAGAACTCTGTAGAGCTTGGCCAGAACATCTTGCACCAGCTCCAAGTTTTCATTGGAAAAAAAAGGACTTTATTGAGCTTAAACCCCCACTGTCAGCCAAGAACACATCCCGGCAGTGTGAAATCCTGCCAGGAACAAATCCTGGCAGTGCGAAATCCCACCTGGAACAAATCCTGGCGCTGTGAAATACCCCCTGTCCCCACTAAGCTGTGCCAAAACAGGGAGTTTCCCACATCAGTCCTCGGTGTCCTGCTCTTGCCCGAGGGCAGGGTGAGCAGGGGCTGGCAGAGATCGACTGGTGGTGGCCAAAGCATTGGAAACTTCCAAAGGGAGGATGATCCAAGTGCCCCGTGGGGGAGATGCTCCAGCCTGGCCAGGTTCCTGAGCGCCCACCAGCAGTGGCAGCCCGGGTGGGTGAGGATGAAAATATGATGATGATGAAGCCCATGTTTGCTCCCCACCAACCCTGCCTGGATGCCCAGGGTGGCAGGATAAAGATGATGAAGATGATGATGATGAAGCCCACATTTGATCCCCACAGCCCCTCAGCTCAGCTGTTGGCAGGTCAGGTCACACCACACACCCACGGACCAGGAAAGGCAGAAGGAATGGCACCATAGCAGAGTGCAGGGACACATGTCCCCAGGAGAGGTGCCACAGAGCCCAACATTCACGTGTCAGGCCTCAGGGATGGATCCTGTCACCAGGGGTTGGGTGGTTCTTGTCTGCCAGGGTGAACCTGCCGTTTGCTGGGTTGGGTTTTGGAACAAAAAGGACCCAACAGTTGTCACTGGCATTGATTGCATCTCCTAAATCCCCTGAGTGACCATGGACACAGGTGGAAAAGGGAAGGGACTATCTGGGTTTAGGTTTCTCCTTCACTACCCAGCAATGTTTTCTTTCCCTTGGTTTTCTCCTCATCCAAGAGACTCTCCCATCCACATCAGTGAGGACACCCTGCCCAGAGACCACAGCACCACAGCTCGGGAACTGAACTTTATTTGTGCAGAACTCGTGCTCTGGGTGATGCCAAGGTCAGGCCTTGAGTCTCTTCTGAGCCTCTTTTAGTCCCTGAGCCCCCTCAGCCGAGCTGGAAACACTTCATCAGCTCCACCACCGTCCTTTCCTCCTCGTCTTCCTTTTCTGAGTGGGTGTCCATGGCGTGAGGTTCCCTCCCTGCCTCCTGGCCTGGCTTTTCGGCAGCCCAGCAGTCCCTGCTCAGGCCCTGCAGCTTCCTGAACAGATCCCGGCCGCCCTCCTTCTCCGCCGGGCTCAGGAGCTCCACGTTCAGCCCGAAGCGCCGGGTGCCCGCCAGGCCCTGCAGGATCTCCAGGACGGCAGCCCCGTCTCCAGGATGGAAGTTCTCTGCCAGCACCCTCAGGAATTCCCCCAGGAGGCCAAAGCCCACGTCAGCCCGGAAGATCCTGCCCAAGGCCTCCCCTCCCAGCTCCAGCAGAAACCGGTATTTCTCTGTCCCGCTCTTCAGGCACCTGCGCCAATCCCTGTGGAATTCTGCAGCCGTTCCAGGCAGCTGATCCAGCTCCTGAAGGAAAAAGGAGTCACTCAGGTCCTTTTGCTTTGTTTCCCCTCAAAGGCTTTGGTCCCCCTGCCCCAGTCAGCCAAAGATGTTTCTCACAGGGGCTTTGGTGGCACAAGGAGCTGCCGAGGGGGAAAACGAGAAGACAAGGAAATGCCAGGTGCCTCGAGCCCGGAGAAACCTGGGAACTCCAGGGGCAGAAGGGAAAGGTGGATGAGATGTGACACCTGGTGTGAACACAGATGGTTGTGGAGTGATCCTGACCCCAACCAGACCTGCTGTCCAGCCAGCAGGATTAACCCAAACCGGCCCTTTTCCATGCTGTGGATCATTAAACTGTGGGTGAGGATGAGGAGCAGTGGCATAAACCAAAGCACAAGTTCCACCTCAACATGAGGAGCTTCTTTCCATGGAGGTGGCAGAGCACTGGAACAGTTGCCCAGGGAGGTCATGAAGACATTCCAAACCCACCTGGACATGTTCCTGTGGCACCTGCTCCAGGTGATCCTGCCTTGGTAGGGGGGCTGGACTGGGTGATCTCCAGAGGTCCCTTCCAACCCCAGCTGGGATTCTGGGATTCTGAGGAAGCACTGGCTGTGCTCAGCCAGAGGCTGTTCCAGGGAGGATCCTGATGCACATCTCTGGGTTGCAGGACTGTGGGCTGGGAGGGCTCTGCTCCCCCATTGTTCCTGCAGACCGTGGGAGGCACTGGGAGCTCTGGGCCCAGGCTGTCCAGCCACCATTCCCACAGGGATGGAGCTGACTCTTCCTGAGGGGGCCCAGCCCGACCCTGTGGGGATCCAAACCCTGATGTTCCAGGGTCTGGGAGGGCTGGCTCACAGTCCCTGAGTAACTCCTACATTCCAACTAACACCCAGACTGTTCCCAAGCCATTTCCAGCTGTGGAGGAGGCCCCAGAGTCTCCCCCTCACCTGTGGGATCTCCTCAGTGTGGGCAGGTGATGCCTTGGCTGGGGCTGCACAGGGATTCCACAACACATTCCTCCTCTGCCCCAGCCTGTCCTTCTTCTCCAGAGGCTTCAGATGTGAGGCCAGCACGATGTTCCTGCAGGGAACAGGGATGGGAGGGACAGGGGGCAAGAGAAAACACTCTGAGGCTCTGAGTTACTTCCATCCAGAGGCACTGGACAGGCTGCAGGAGCAGGGCCTTGTCAATACAAGGACAAACCAGCTTAAAATTCCCTGGGAATCCTGTTATGGGGACTGGCAAGTGTTTGGGGTAGAAAAAGCCACTTTAAAATGCTTTCCTGCCTCTCAAGGATCAGGTAGTGACTGAGTGCAGGTGAATCCATGAATGGAATTTGATCTGGTCCTACAAAATGTGGTAAAAATCCTGGATCCACCTGTGGATGTCAAGGGACAGGGAGTCGCCAGACAGATCTGTATGGGATCCAGGACTTCAGTGGGGTTTGAGAGTCCCACATGGCTCTATAGGACATCCAGGAGTTCAGTGGGGTCTGGGAGTCCCACATGGATCTACAGGACATCCAGGATGTTGATGGACACTGGAAGTCCCAGCTGAACCTGCAGGTGGATCCAGGAGTTTGGTGGGCACTGGGATTGCCTGGCACTGCTCCCCCTGGAGCAGCCTTGCCATCCCAACCTGCTTCCAACACCCTGGACAGAGCCGTGACGGGACTGGGAGCAGGGACAGGCTGGGCAGGGGACAGGGGACATGTGTCACAACCCTCCTGTCACAACCTTCTGTTTCTGCAGCCCCAGCAGGGCCTGAGGGCTGTGGGGAGAGAGGAGGAGCTTGGAGTGGGAATGGGGACAGGGAACAGTGTCCTGGAGAGGGGACAGCCCCTTCCCAGTGCTGGGCCACAACCGGGCACCACAGAGACCAGTCCCAGAGCAGGGACCGAGCTCAGCCCACACGGGGCCACCCGAGGAGATTTGGGGACAAATCTGAACCACAACCGATTGTCCTCGGAGCCGGGTCGTTCCTGGGATCCCGAGGCCGTTCCCGGGATACCG